AAATGGACAGAATAATTGCTGGTAAAAATTCTTAAAAGATGTAAGTTTTACAACACGCAACTTGAGTTTTTACCAATTGTATTCTGGGACAACAAACCATTTTTTAAAGAGTCTAGTCAATTTTCCTGCTTATCTTTTAGTACCCTTTCACCTGTCAATTAAGCTATTAGAATTCATTTGTATGTTTAAGATTGGCTATGATTTGGTCATGCAGTGCTAATGCTGCTGTTCCAGAGGTGATAGCCAATAAGGCTTCTGGTTGGCTGAAGCAAAAACAGATGATCTGCACTGTGTTCACCGTTGCCTTCTAAGGATTTGGGAGCTTTACTTACTGCTAGCATGGTACTTTACTCATATTCTAATGCTTCTGCTTATTCATTCTAATGGCATTAAGCATTATTAATTTCATAACAATTACAATTCTTAGTATTTTCTTAGATTTTTTTCTTTATTTAAAAAATTGTTTAATGTTTATTTATTTTTGACAGAGAAAGACAGAGACAGAGACAGAGACAGAGCGAGAGCAGGGGAGGGCAGAGAGAAGGAGACACAGAATCCAAAGCAGGCTCCAGGCTCTGAGCTATCATCACAGAGCCTGACACGAGGCTGGAACCAAGGAACTGTGAGATCATGATCTGAACCAACGTCAGGGGTTAACCCACTGAGCCACCCAGGTGCCCCAGATTGGTTTTGGATTTATAAATGCTTCCACTGACTAGAGGTTGGCATTTTGCTTTCATTTTGTGAAAAAGAAATGTGCAAAACCGAGTTTGGCTAGAAACACCAAATTTCATTATCACTAACTTCAAGTTTCTTGATTTGATTACAAATAAAGTGATTCTGCTAGTAATCAAAATTGGGCTAGTAAGAAATCAGTTAACATTTTATAGATTATAGATTTTAGAAATATGGAATTATAAAATTACTGTAGCTTAACATTTTATATTAAACATATTTGTTTGTTTTATTTTCATGAAGGGATGTCACATTATTTCAGATTCTCTGATAATTCCAGGGCTAGAAGGAATCCAGTTCCAATTGTCCTGTTTTCCTGTTACACTCTGAACTAAGGTTTTTGAAGAAACCAGACAGGGACATCCTTATTTCTATTATCTTCAGGATAAAACAGGATGCCATGGTCAGTGCCAATTCACCTTTCTGGGTTTTAATGCCTCAATCAGCAATCCATCCACTAACCATTAGATCATAAATCCTTAAGAGGGATTTCAGGATCAATAAAGGCACTGAAGCCTAGTTTATGAAAATACTAGTGCTCCTGAAGCAGAAGTTCCTTTCATTTTAAATCATAGCCAGATTAACATATCTCTGATATATAGTAATTATAATAAGTCAATATTTTCACTTTTTCTAATGTGGCTGGAGTAATGAGGAGTGGAGTTGTATCTGATTTTTTTGTTTGTTTGTTTGGGATTCCACATCTCTAACCTTTGTGGTAATGCAAAACTAATTTCACTGTTTTGCATGTATTCTTTTTTTTTTTAATTTTTTTTAACGTTTATTTATTTTTGAGACAGAGAGAGACAGAGCATGAACGGGGGAGGGGCAGAGAGAGAGGGAGACACAGAATCGGAAACAGGCTCCAGGCTCTGAGCCATCAGCCCAGAGCCCGACGCGGGGCTCGAACTCACGGACCGCGAGATCGTGACCTGAGCTGAAGTCGGACGCTTAACCGACTGCGCCACCCAGGCGCCCCTTGCATGTATTCTTATAGTAGTACTGAGATTATTTTATTCCGGTTTGGCCAGATTGGTTATCACAGAGCAGACCTTCCTTACCAGTGCACCAAGGCACGATGAGTTAAAGCCCTGAGAAATACTGATGCACCTGTCCTCAGGGTGGCCTGATAGGGTCTCAGAGAAAATGAAAACCTCAAGTCTGACAACTGTCAGGATAAGCCTCAACTGTTTATTCCAGCATGTCCACAAGTATTATTTCTAAGTGTCATTTTATGAGAAAGGCCAGAAGACAATGCTACAGAGTGCAGAAAAGTCTTGCCTTCCTTTGTACAATGAATATAGATCTGCAAACATTTGCTAGTTATCCCTCAAATATGAAGTAGACACTTAATATTTGATAGTATATTTGAGATATACCCTTAGGCTTGAGAATCTTCAAATCTGTGAATATTATCATAGTGTATGATGTGCCTTAACATAATACAATCAAATACAACTGAAAAATTAAGCAACCACTTAATGAGTCATAAATGGAGGGTTAAAGCTGGTTATAGAGCTATTGAAATAAATTCAGGCTGCAACATCCAATAAAGTGGTATCATGAATCTTCATCTCCTTGTCCTCCCTTAGTTCTATATGGCACAGATCTAGTCAGGCCCCAATTCAACATTTCCCTCTATAATTTGTCCAGGGCCTTTCTCTTTTCTGGCTGATTACCTGATATAATTTTTCAAACTTATATTTTTGTTCATTTGTGTTACCAGAATCAACAGTTGACTTTCTTTTGTATAAATACCTTTGGGGTACCTGGGTGGCTCAGTCAATTAAGCTTCTGACTTCAGCTCAGGTCATGATCTCACCATTTATGAGTTTGAGCTCTCCATCAGGGTCTCTGCTGTCAGAGTGGGGCCTGCTTTGGATTTTCTATCTCTGTCTCTCCCTGCCCCTCCCCTGCTCACTCCCTCTCTCTCTCTCTCAAAATGAAATAAATAAAAATTTAAATATATTTGCTTCATGTAGACACAGTTTTTACCATGGCATAAGTTACTGCATACGTATGGTTACTAGGAACTCTGCTGACATGTGGGTGGTAGGTAGTAGGCAAGACTGCACATATCAGCATGACTGATTTCCATATAGTATTCTGGAAGGGTGAAACTCAAATCTATGCCTCCACAAATAAAACGTGTCATAGTTCTCCAGACATGCTAAAACAAAATATGCAAGTGTTAAGTTTCCCAATGTAAATCATCTGCCCAACCGAATTTTCTCTAAGGGTTATGCTTTTCTTTCCCACCATGTGAAAGCAGAAATACAATCTTTTTTTTATTGCCTAGAGATTCAGCTGTTGATGCTATAGGAAGAGGCTATGTTTGTAAAGAGAATTTTTAAACTGTTCTTTTATTATACATGCTACCGAGTTCACTAACGAGGTAATCAAATAAAGTGTCCTCCAGGGGAGAAATGAAAGAACATTCCATATGCCAATCTGTTTATTTCCTTGGCCCACTACTGGTCACACACTACCCTTTGCTGTCTGCAGACATGGTTTGTGTGCAGGTCAAATTACCTTCTATTTTATTATTTCTTTGCCCTGGCAGGAGGTAGTACCCCAATTCAGCAACTGGGCTGTTATTAGCTACCACCTTTTTAACAACATCTCTTCAGCCACAATACACAAGACAGGTTTTAACTGATCTTATTGTTTATAGTAGAAAAAGCAATCACCAGAGAAGTTGCCCCTCTTTCTTTCAAAATGTGAATAAAAAATGGTCAAAGGATTTCAGATTATTGCTTACTTTACTCATTTTTAAACATTTTTTTATGTTTATTTATTTATTTTTGAGAGAGAGCACGCACACACATGTAGGGAAAGGGCAGAAAAAGAAAGAATCCCAAGCAGGCTCCGTGCTGTCAATGCTGAGGCCAACATGGGGCTCAATCTCATGAACCATGAGATCCTGACCTGAGCCGAAATCCAGAGTCAGACGCTTAACCAACTGAGCCACCTGGGTGCCTCTTGACTCATTTTTCAAAAACAAAAACAAAAACAACAGCAAAAATAAAAATCTGCAAACAAACAAAAAAATAAGGCTTATCCCCAAGCAGTAGATCTTAAATAAAAAGATATGCTTAAATCAGACCTTAAGGGTTTGGAAAATTTTCCATCATTTATGATGTCAGGTAAGCTGTATCTTGAGACTTCTGTTGACTTGTCCATAGCTCTTCATGGCTTAACTTTAGGGATCTTCTGCCACCAAATACACTCCCATCCCCAGTAAGCTAAAGTAGCTAATGATTTATGAAACATCTGTGCGCTAAAGTCCATCAAAGACTTAAAAAATATCTAGCCCTCAAAAAATCTGCTTAATAAATGTAGCTTTTATTTTCAGTTCTTTTTTACCAGGCAAGGCACAGCAGTGTATACGTTCAAAGGGTCCTCTACATATAACAATAATAGCTGCTATTCATGACATAGGCAGTGAATTTGGAATTTTCAAGCACTATTGGTCAGCTTTTTAATAAGCTTCTCAGGTAGGTATTTCTTTCTTAATTTATCAGAGGAGCTGAGAATTTGGAGACCATGATAATACAGCCCTAGTTGCTTCTGCCTCAGAGAGTTGAACAAGAACTGGGATGTAGGTATATTTGGATCCAAAGCCTATGCCCTTTTGTTTCAACCAGGTTTTGTTTCATTTGCCCATTTTAGGTCATTTTTAGAGTCAGGAAATTGGATCTTCCAGAGGTTCACATATCCAATTTAGGAGTTTCCAAAAACAAAACAACTCCATCCTCCTTTTTCTTCCTTTGGTGCTCATCACAAAAACGGATTAGGATTTTCTTTGCCTGAACAAGATCATCAATTCTCATAACCTAAATGGGTTTTGATCTGTTTCTCCCATCATCTCAGGGGAGGGTATATTGCCAGAGTATCCCTGCCTCTTATGCCGTGAGAGCAGTCTCACTGCAATGAGTCATGTCCTGTAACCCAGGCAGTATCTTCCAGGCAATGATCCCAAACCTGGTATCATTCACTTAAAAATGTGAACAAACTGTATGGAACAGGAGAAAGGGTTATCTACCAAGTCTGATGCCTTCCTCCTCTTCCTCACCTTCCTTAATGTTGAACACAGAACACGTAAGGAGCATTTGCTGTGTGTTAGCCATTGCTCAGTGCTGTGGATGATGGGCACAATCCAACCCAGAATAAATAAAGGTCAGAACTGGTTTAGAGAAAGGACGATGCAGGCCAGAATCCAAAGTTTTCTCGATCCCTACACCATGCCCACATTTGCTCACTAGGGCTTCGATAACAAGAACTACAGATGAGATGGCTTATGCAGAAAATTTATTTTCTCACATTTCTGGAGGCTGGAAGTCCAAGGCCAAGGTATCAGCAGGATGAACGATTTCTCCTGAGATCTCTCTCCTTGATTTGCAAATGGCCACCTTCTGGCCTTGTCTTCACATGGCCTTTACTCTGTTCATATCATCTCTGGTGTCTCTTCCTCTTCTTATAACCACCAGTCTTATTAAATGAGGGCACCACCCTTATGACCTCTTAACCTTGATTATCTCTTGAGAGGCCCTGTCTCTGAATACATCACATTCAGAGTTGGAGATTCAACATAAATCCTGAGGTAACATAATTCAATCCACAAAAATGGCCATTGCATAAATAGCTATCATGTGCAGTGGAAAGAAGTCCAAGAGAGTAAAAAACCATACTTGTGATAGGAGCATGGATGCTGGAACCAGAGTTTGCCACTTCCCAATCGTGTAAACATTGGTCAAGTTTCTTAACTTCAGTACTTCATTTGTCATCCTCCAAAGCAGGGACAAGAAGAGCACCCACACCCTGGGTGCCTGGGTGGCTCTGTCAGTTAAGCCTGGGGCTTTGGCTCAGGTTACAACCTCAAGGTTGGTGAGTTCAAGCCCTGCATCAGGCGCTGCACTGACTGTGTGGAGCCTGCTTGGGATGACCTCCCTCTCCCTCTGCTCCCCCCCTACTTATGCTCTCTCCGCTCCTTCTCTCAAAATAAATAAATAAACTTAAAAAATAAAGAGTAACCACCCCCTAGGTTATTGCCATTTGACATAAGAGTTGGCTACTAGTGGTAGATAATTTTTTTTAATGTTTATTTATTTTTGAGAGAGACTAAGTGGGGGAGGGGTTGAGAGAGAGGGAGACAGAAGCTCTGATGCAGGGCTGGAACCCACAAACCTGGGAATCATGACCTGAGCCAAAGTCCCATTATTAACTGACAGAGCCTTCCAGGTGCCCCAAGTAGATGAATGGTTTTAAAGATGATATTACTCCTTTTTCTCCTCTGGATGTAACATCACAGAAATCATGAGAATAAAATTCAAGAGAAAAGATGGGGGAAATAAAATACCTTAACTGAGAAGTATTTTTTTTTTTTTTTGTAATCGTAACAATTTATTCTATATAATAGTAATTGTGAAGCTAGGGCTAACACAGAGCCAGACACTTTAGGTTCTTGAATTTGTATTTTATATTTAATTTTTTTTAATGTTTATT